TGTGGTGCTTTGTTTTTCCATTCTTGTGATACTCCACTTAGAAGAATGGATTCCAGCTCCATCCAGGATAATACAATAGGTAGTTCACCATTTATTTATGGATGAGTAGTACTCCATGGTATACATATACCACACTTTATTAATCCACTCATGTATTGATGGACACTTGGGTTGTTTCCACATCTTTGCAATTGTGAATTGTGCTGCTACAAACATTTGACTACAGATGTCTTTTTTACATGATGTCTTTTTTTGGTAAGAGGGATTGCTGGATCAAGTGGTAGTTCAGTTCCACTTTGAGTTCTTTGAGGTATCTCCATATTACTTTCCATAGAGGTGGTACTAGTTGCAGTCCCATCAGCAGTGTAAGAGTGTTCCTATCTCTCTGTATCCAAGCCAACATTTATTGTTTTGGGACTTTTTGATAAAAGCCATTCTCACTGGAGTTAAGTGATATCTCCTTGTGGTTTCCATTTGCATTTCCCTGATGATTAGAGATGCTGAGCATTTTTTCATACGTTTCTTGGCCATTAGTCTGTCTCCTTTTGAAGAGTTTCTATTCATGTCTTTTGCCCACTTTTGAATGGGGTTGTTTGATTTTTTTCTTGCTGATTTTCCTAAGTTCTATATAGATTCTAGTTATCAGCCCTTTACCAGATATATAGCATGCAAATATTTTCTTCCATTCTGTAGTCTCTGGTCAGACTTTAGTTTGCGTCTAGGCATGAAGCCCTATATTCTGTCTCCCTTTCTCCAAAGTGCTTTCTGCATTGTTCCCCCTGGTCTCCTCTTCCTGTTTCTGTTTATAATCCACCCTTACTCTTGAGGTGCTTTAGCCCTTCCACTATGGACTATCTCTACCAAGTTCTTTCTAGCTCCTTCCTCTCAAACCTTTACATCAGGCCCTCTTATCTACTCACAGTTCCACCCTCTGAACTCTTGACCTACAGGTCACCCTCTCTGACAAATGATTCTCCTAATTAGCTTCCCAGATACTCCTCTCTTGGATACTTTCCAACAGCTAACTGATAAGTTTTTAAGGGGGATGGCTTTCTCTCCCAAAAACCATGCCCCCAATCTTTTCCCTTTCTTTTCCTCTGGCCAGTCACCACACCCAGGGCATCTACAGGGATCCAGTGTGCACAGTTCTCTCAAGTGTAGGACTATTTTTACTACAATTAAAAGGACTTTTAGGGTACAAACTGAATCCAGATGAGTGCAGTTACAAGAATACAGTGCCCTATTACTAGGCTTGACAGAGGGTTGAGCGTTAGTCTCTTCTAAACCTTCTCTGGGTTTATGCCATTTCTTGTCACAGGCAGTTGCATCAAGTCCTGACCCCTTGGGGTTACTATCCTCACTGGTTTCTTCTGTTTTCACTTCCTGTTGTAGGATGAGTTTTCACTCCTCTCCCTGGAATTGTTGGGTCCTTTTTTGTCTGGCCTTAATGTCCTTTTCTGTCTGGCCTTAAGTTCATTTGCTCAGCTTTGATCATAATTGTCCTCTGATATAAGCATCTTATTGTCCTAAGATGCTGACATACCCTCAGCATCTTAGGAGCATCCCACATTTCTTGGCTCATTCTTGGTGCCTATCACCTTCTTTGTTCTTCTTTACAATAAAGGTCTTTCTTTCATTCCTCAGTATATTCACTTTCCATCAGCTCATACTTGCATCTCTCTCTCTCTCTGTCTGGAATTTTTACTTTCTCTAAAAGCTTCAAACGTATTTGTAACTCTGCTGCCAACATCCCTAACCTCTTGGATGAAAAATCACCAGGGTGAAACCAAACACATTCATATAGTGAACTTTCAACCAACCCCCTTTCTTGAATTCTGATCAGGGATCCAACTGTACTAATGTTGTTTTGAACTGAATCACACGTGTACTTTAAAGATTCCATTTCCATTTGATCACATCTAGTTCGTAAATCACGGTGTTTGGGAGAGAAGTATTTATATTTACATAGATTTTTTTTAGAATCCCTTTGCTATACGCTCACTGTTGTGATCTGGGTACCCGGTGTAAATATAGTGCAGTAATAGATATTCACTTGGAATGGAGAATGGAGGGAAAAAACCTAGTGTGAGTTACCTAAAGGGTCCAAGTCAGCTGTCTGACCCCAGCTGCGATCAGAACTACCTGTGGAGCCTTCATAAAATGAAAAAGAGCTGCCTCTCCCTCCCTGCAGATTCTGATTCAGAAACTCCATAGGAAACTCGGAACCACTGATCTAAGTTATTCTGGAGATAGTGATATCTACAGGCACAAAGGTTGGCCCTCTGTGATTTCACTTTGCCCTCACAGTGCCTCTCTTCATAGAACTGAATGTGACATGTTTTCCCCACTCCTGAGAGTCCCGTCCTGACTTTCTAAAGTAACAACAAAAACAATTTTTTACACGTGAGTAAACTAACCCACTACCCTTTTCCCAAAAAAGAAAGAAAAGAAAGAAAGGTTGGAGGGCTCATCTCACTTCATTTTTACATTGTGTTTTTGTCATGCTAATTTACCTCCAGGGAGGTATGAGGAATTCTCTCAGCACGCCCATTCATCATCTGGTAGTCTTCGTGAGGTGGGGATGGCTGAACCAAGGCTGAGAAAAGTATTTGGAGTAAAGGGTCTACCGAGAGAATGGAAGCCAACAAAGTTACCAAAGACCTAACTTGCTCATGTAACATTTATTGAATGACCACTTCTTGTCTACTAAATGTCAGGCACTGTTAGTCACTGACATTTTCTACAAATTTACTAGCCCTTTATTTATTTTAAGAGCCTGAGTTTATGAGAGAAGGCCAGGGAAGGGGGCTAGTTTCTTTGTTTTTGTCAATCCCAATCTCTCATTATTACACTCTTTATCACCTCCATATTTTTATTTTTTTAGTTCTTTTTCTTTTCTTTCTATTTTTCATATGCAACAAGCAAGAGGGGGTAAACGTCTTTCTTTCTCTGCTAAGAAATAGCAAGGGATCTTGAATAATTATGCCTCCAATGTGTCAACTGATCTTGTTCTCTTTCTGTCTTTGCTGTTGAATTGCTGTGGGTCTCACATTGCTGACAATTTCTAGGTAACTTAGTTTCCCCACAGTGGGACAAGTTATTCTCAAGTATAGCTGAGAAAGTATGGTGTAGAGGGACCTAGAGTAACACATCTGGTTCAACGCTTGCCTCCTCTAACCAACTATAGGCCCCGAGGGAAGCTATTTAGATCTGATACTCAATTTACCTCGCTGTAAAATGGACATAACTACATGAAGAATAGCAAGAATTACAAACGATGTCCTCTAAGGGCCTAGTGCAGTTCCTATCTCGTATCTCATAATAGATGGTAATATGAGGTTAAGTTTAGCCTAAAGCTGGCTCTTCACATACTTTAAGTTCAACCTCAAGTTTTAACTGTAATGTAACTGGACTGTAACCTACTCTTGTGCCAATCACTGAGTTTCAACCAATCAAAATGGGCCAACTGTTCAAGCAGTGTTCAAATAAAGCAAACGCTGAGCTGTAGCCAATCCAGCTGTTTCTGTACCTCACATCTGTTTTCTGGATATCACTTTTCTTTTTTTTGTCCATAAATTTTCTTCAACCATGTGAGAATACCAGGGCCTCTCTAAACCTATTCTCGTTTGAGGGCTGCCTGAATCTCGAATCGTTCTTTGCTCAATTAAACTCTGCTAATTTGTCTAAAGTTTTCCTTTTCACAGTAATATTATTATCCATTACATCTCTTAAATATCAGCAAGAATCTTTGAGACTCCAATAGGACTAGCACTATATGCCATTAAGTTTTAGAAATAAGAGTTTTCTTAATAAATGCTATGAATGGCTCATAGATGAACATTTCTAATAATCCATTACACTGACTCACCACTCATTATCACACTGTCCAAAAATTCTTACCGAGCAAGAGTGTATGTCACATGAAAGACACTAGATACGTTGAACCATACATATTACATAATGACCCTATTTTGCTTTTACCACTGTACTATTTGTTAGACTGACTTTTTTTTTTCTGTTATTACTTGCAGCTGTTCCAGGAAAAGGAAAGAAGGAAGTCTCTTCCTTTGAATGCTAAAGCTTTACTTGCACCCAAATTTGAACAGAAAGCAAGAAGAAAACTTTAGTCATCTTCTCAAACTCCAGTTTGTGCACCCCGATTGGTTGAGTGCTCTTGACACATCATCTGCAGATCACAGACCCAGAGCCAGGGAGGAAGAAATCTCCCCAGTAGCAGACCTGCCTGGATACAAAACAGAATAATGGTTAACAAACATGAGAAAATGCTCAACATCTCTAATCATCAGGAAAATGCAAATCAAAACCACAATGAGATATCACTTAACAGTGAGAATGGCCTTTATCAAAAAGTCCCAAAACAATAAATGTTGGCGTGGATGCGAACAGACAGGAACACTCCTACACTGCTGGTGGAACTGCAAACTAGTTCAACCTCTGTGGAAAGCAATATGGAGATACCTTAAAGCAATACAAGTAGATCTACCATTTGATCCAGCAATCCCACTACTGGGCATCTACCCAAAAGAACAAAGGACAATCTACAAAAAAGACACCTACACTCAAATGTTTATAGCAGCACAATTCACAATTGCAAAGCTGTGGAAACAACCCAAGTGCCCATCAATACATGAGTGGATTAATAAAATGTGGCATATGTATACCATGGAGTACTATTCAGCTCTAAGAAACAATGGTGATATAGCACATCTTGTATTTTCCTGGATACAGCTGGAACCCATACTACTAAGTGAAGTATCTCAAGAATGGAAGAACAAGCACCACATATACTCACCAGCACATTGGTATTAACTGATCAGCACCTAAGTGGACACATAGGAATTACATTTATTGGGTATCGGGCAGGTGGAAGGGGGACAGAGGGGGTGGGTATATACATACATAATGAGTGAGATATGCACCATCCGGGGGATGGTCACACTTGAAGCTCCGACTTGTGGTTGGGAGGGGCAAGGGCATTACGCGCAACCTTAAAATGTGTACCCCCATAATATGCTGAAATAAAAAAAAAAAAGCAGCAAATGTTCTAAGAGTCTTTCAACCATTTATTTCCAAAGTAAATAATCCCACAGAAATTGATAGGGCAAAATTTAAGACTATATTCTTTGACTTCACAACATGGTTCTACATATGGTCTTTGGTTTTATTTTCATAAGTCATGTTTTTACCATATCACAATGTATTTCTATGAAAGCACTCATTTGTCATGATTCCAAATATTAACATCTGAGATAAGATTGATGTGTCTATCATTTCTGGCTGTCAGAGTTTCTGTTTTCTCAAGGGCTCTTCTAGTTCCAAAATGCTAAAATTCTTCAAGACAATAGAGATGGCTCTTCACACAATTGCTTTGTATTACGTTGCGTATTAGACCTACAGAGAGGCCCTTCTCCCTATTCTGAGGGAAATTCATCCTGATGGAGATCTTGTCCCTTCTAAGGTGGATCACTTTATAGTGATGTTCAGAATAATAGTGATCAGAATGATAACACCCATGCACAGAGCACCTGTGGGCCAGGCTAAGCATTTTACACATAGTAGTTTATTTAATCCTCCCAACACCCTGTATAATAGATTTTCATTTCCACATGTTATAAGAGAGGCTTCAAGAGATTAAACTGCTACAAGTCACAATTTGGTAAAATCTGGAACTATCAAATCTATACCTCCCTGACTTATGTTCTTTTTGCAGAAATAACCAGAAAAAAAAGTAAAATTTGTAAATAAATTATGCAACCTGACACTTTTAGAACCTAAGCAGCTGAGAACTACAAAGTCTACCTATGGAGCATCAGCAGCAAAGCATGAGGGTTGGATACTAACACCCCCAAACATTCAATCCAGAGCCATGTTTGGGTTGACCTTCATAATGTTTTGATTTTAATTCAGATTAATTGCCAACATTTAAAACTATGCAGAATTCACATAAAAAGCAGGATTGGGAACTTCTATTGACAAACCAGAGTATCTGGCAACGTTGGGCTACACATTCCCACATGGTAATAATAAGTGACGCTGAGTAGCAGATGCCCCTTGGGACAGGACACTCCTCCCATACATTGCAGCCTACTCTTTGCTGACTTAGCTTGTGTGCCTAAGCCCATGGGCTTTTGAGTTTGTGACCTTCCTATTCTTCATGGCATCCAGTTTAGAGAAATGAGAAGGGTAAAATGTTTGTAACTTCATAAATATACAGTGTAAAAAATTATAAGAAAGAATGCAACTTGTACCTTTTCCTCAATGGTTTCTTCTTGGGGATGACCCAGAGATTGTGAGGGTTTGGAGAACAGCCTAGGGCCTACAATTAAAATAGTTTTGTCTTTGGTTACTACCGGAATAAACCTGTAAGCAGACAGCTGTTTCATGCCAGCTGAAATTCTAGTCTTGGGTGGGATGGCAGAGGTTTATGACTTCAGATGAGAAACAGGCAGGAACAGATTATATTCTTATGCCAAGTTTCTTTCTTTATTGCCATGGAAGCAAGAAGAGAAATGCAGAGAGTGGAAAGCTTTGCTAGAGCCGTGTTTCAATCAAGCTTTCTGCAAGGCATCAGGAGCTGCTCAAGATTTTGCAAACACATTTACAGGAAAATCATGGCTATAGAAAAACTCCCAAAATTAAAACAGAGCTGGAAAAGAATAAAGACCATGCATTTGTCTTTAAACTTAGAAGTGGAACCCCCGGGACTTGGTATTCTATAACAACACTGGAAACATTATTAATGTTAATAAATAAACATCTGGATTGACTTGTAGTCTAAATTTAAGTGTCCTAAATATTTTGGCTCGATTGTAACTATACTGCATTTTCCTAAATGCTCAAATGTTTCTTCTGTCCTTAGCTTACACTTCATTTTCTTCTGACTGTTTTAACTCAAGTCTTGTTTTTCATGAAAATGGACCTTGTTATATAAGCATTTAAGCACCAAATGTCCATAAATAGATATGGAATTGGTCTTTATTTCATCCTTCATATTTGTACAATGTGAGTTCTTTGCATACTCATACCCTTTTAACTGGAATCATATAATCACTCCATTTGCTTCTCTATCTTTCATATAATCCTTTGTGCTATACATAATTCCAAGAATGCCAACTTTTACCAACAAAATTTTAGTTGAGCTAAAATTAAAACCTCAGGCTATTATTAAGCTATCTGTTAATTCCATTTTTTAATATAAAATTAGCCAGGGCTAGCTCAGTTTTTGGATAGTATTAAAAAGAAAACATAAAATATGGTGGCATAAACCAGATCAAGCCATAATCATGGCCAAGTCTCACTTGGATTCTCAAGTGTACTCAAAAAGCAAGAGCAAAGGCTAGCAAAACACATCTCCACCAAGAAAAGTGCAGTAAAATGAAGGCAGAATTAAATGAGCCAGCTACAGAGAATTCTACCCATAAACACAATGCTCAGACTTAATCTGTTTCTCCCCACCTTCATTTGAGAATGTTGGTCTCAGGTCCCTGGGCTGCCGTTGCTGCCTTGAGCCTTTTTCTCGATGTAAGCCAAAGTGTTGCTATGCAAAGTCCCAATGCATGGAACCAGAGTTAATCATTCACAGGCCCTTTTGCCTGAAATAAGATGCTTTTCATTTCCCTTGGCTTATGTGAATAATGAAAAAAGAAAACAAACAAAGGAGATAACTGCACTATGTTAAAAGATAATCCCTTAGCATAACTATTGTCTAGAAGGCTGAGCAGCACAGTCAGGCAAAAATCCAGTCTGCATTCAGTGACTGCGTTGACATTTATTTATAAGAGATTATGCCGTGACAGAGCTTCAAGTCATTTAGAAATGCTCCCATTCCCCAAGGCCTTCGCTATATTTATATGCAGGATCCCATATTATTTTTCCCGGTGTTATGGCAACAAGGATTTCAATGTTTACAGAGCTATCAAGTTCTGACAGGCCGGGCTGAGGACTCTGCCTCTCCGGCTTGCAGGAACACGAGCAGCAAGGGACGGGGGAGCCGAGCACGCGCTCAGCCCTCTGAACGACTCATACCTGCGCAGAAGAGGGGCAGGAAGCGGGGACGGTGCTAATCAACTCACAGAGCCACTTTCCCCCAGGGGAGTTTGCCCTCCTGATCCTGCGGTTAAGGAATGTATTACAAAGTACGCTGAACCTAGTAAGTCATATTAAACCTGAAAGAAAAACAAAACCCAAATGCCTACTGCAATTTCGTACTCTGAGTGGATTTTTAAAGCTGTGTGGAATATGGTGCCTCCGAGTCCTTTATGAGGCCGCTGGGGTAGAGAAAAGGGAAATGAAAAGGCAGTGGGTGAAGAGAGGGCAGAGCAAGTGCTCTCTCTGTGCCCACCCTTTGTTTCTGACTGCACGCAGGGGGGCGGCCCAGCTCACCTTCACACCTCATCTAGCCATTGCCCAGGGCTCAGGAGTTTCGACTGTACTTCAACTCCCAGGCTAATGACTGTATGAAGCCGGTCATGAAAATGTCCCAGAAACACCCGTATCTCACCGGCAAGATTATTTTGAGAGCTTGCCACCGACTCCGTGAGGACAGCTATGCGTAAGCAGGACCTCGTTGTCCATGGTTCTCTGTACTGAAGTTGTTTTCTGGAGTTTGCCCAAACTCCTCCATACTCTCCGACTCAGACACAGAGCCAGAGGGCATTAAGAAAAAGTCCTCCCAAACAAACCCTTTGGCCATCTTGGTTCTAGTTGGAACAGGAAGTAAAAGCCACAAGCTCAGCCTCTGATACAGCAAACCACCACCTTCCAGTTCTGGATTTGGGCCGGGGAGACTCAAGTCAGAGTAAAGTGGAATAAGGAATTCTAGGCCTAGTTTCTCCTTTTCTTCCTCTCTTTTCTTTCTTTTTATTTTCTTCTTTCTTTCTCTTTTTCTCTCTTTCTTTTTTATTTCTTTGCACATATGTGTTCATAAGGGCACTGGTACTTACTTGGATATAAAAGTGTCACACTGGCATATAGAATGGACTTTACAAGTGTGTCTAAATATTTTTTGATTTGAGGCTTTCTTCTGTTTAAAAAGATAAATAGCAAGAAACATGCATATTTCTTAATGTGTAAGATGTACATTTGAACACACGATAAATTGAAACTTGATATGTAATATAGGACATGTGAAAAAAAAGTTTTATTTGCATGGTATGTACTTTCAACTTATATAAAATAAATTTAATAGTATGGGGGGAAAAGTAGGAATAATAAGTACGATAAATATCTCTGCGTGTCTTTCTCAGTAAACTAGAGCCATATAAGGAAATAGCCAGAAATGGGTGAGTATGACCTCAGGGTGTTTCCCTTTGGAAGTTAACAGTGTTGACAGGGCTGCTTCCCAAGGCCACCTGGAAAGCCCGGGACAGGGGCAGGTCTTCGTGCCATGTATGCACTTCAGGCCCATTTTCTATTAGCAACTGTGGCCACTGTTTGCGATCCTGTTGCTATCGGTGACTTCGCCTGTTGCTATCGGTGACTTTACCTTTCGTTCCTCAAGAGCTCACCTTGCTCATAGCTTGCCAGGTATTTTGGGATGCTGGCACCCAAACCAGATTATGCACGGCCGGTCTTCCCAGCAGTCAGAGATTAGAAGACATCATTTAAAGCTGTGCTTTAGGTGTCTTTTTATTTCTTTTGATCAGACCGCTTCAGTTAACCACACGGCCGCTGCAAAGGCAACTGATGTTATTTATCATCTTCATCACCACAGTTTTCATCATCAAACACAGTTGCCCAGATATCTTTCCTAAGTTCTCTCAAGAAAATTACATAACCTTGAGCCTTGCCATACACCCTGCAAATTCGCTATTCATTCATTCTCCAAACATTTCTTAGCCTTTCGCTGGCACTGTGCAGTACATTAAGGATACTGCGATGCCCTATTTAAGCTTAAATTCTGTAGGGAGACAGTAAATACAAATAAATCGACAAGGAGTACAAATGCTAGTGTCAAATACGCTAAAAGGGAAGTCAAGAAGACATTATGATGAGAATAATATGGAATATCTTCAAACATTGACTAAGAACTTCTTCCCTGAATGACATTTAATAAGAGACCTGTTGGGTAAGAAAACAGTTCTGAACTAATAAACTGGAAACATTTGTGGTAAACCTAATGCTGGTTAAGGCTCTTGGTGACTACTTAAAAAGTCAGATAAAATATTCCTGGCACATTTTAAATCTCTCAGTCTTCCAGAAGATTAAATCGGATGATTTGGGGGAAGACTTATGTCTTGGTCCAAAGCTTGATACTACATTGTTAACTAATTCCATCTTTTGCATTTTGTGGATATTTTGGCTTCCACAATAGACCAAGACCTTCCTTTACTGAAGAAAAATATAGGAAAGTGTTTTTAACCTGGCAGATTCATGAGGGTATCCATGCTTGGTATATACCCTGAATTTACATACAAAGTTAACTATGTATGGTTTATATATACAATTATGAGGGAGAACATTTAGCACTTTCATCAGATTTTTGAATGGCCCTGTAATCCAACCAAGGGTACAGCCACTCAGACAGATGAGTCTAAAGTAGTCCATTGCCCTGGAATCTTACAAAAAAGTGGGCTTGGACTTTTTTTTTTTCCACAATAGATCAAGCTTCAGTTTCTACGATCCACAAACTTTTAAAAATTGGTTCATAATCCAACATTTGTGTTTCGTTACCTATTTCAAGATCCTCATAACACATGCTCTTGAGATATCAATAAAGTAAATAAAGGACAAATGCTTCTCGTTCAGTTGCCAGCTGCAACCCAACCACCTCTCCATGACTCTCCAGAGACATATCTAACAGGCTAAAAGGAAGTCACTTTAGGGGTGACTTTAGGGTTTTAGACAACCCCAAGCAGCAGTAATGGCTGCCAAGGTGTAGGTCGAGGCAAGGCCATTCTCCATCTCCAACCCAGCACAGGAGGAAGATGATTGGATGCAGGTTGCAAGACCTAGAGTAATTGAGCATCACCAGAATCACCTGGGGTTTCTTTACTCTAAATGATGTAGATTGGGTATAAGAGTGTAGGTATATGGGCGTCATTGTACTATCTTTTTTAACTGTTTTGTATGTTTGAAATTTTTTGTAATAAAAAGTTAGTAAAAAGTAACTGCCTGCACAAGCTGATATTACTTTCTTCTACACCTCTCCACTTGCCCACACAATTATGACTCAACAGATTTGTAGTAGAGGCACACAAGTATGTGCATTTTGAAAATAAAAAGAGAAATATTCCCATGTGGTTTTGGTATGCACACCTTGAGCACCACTGTCCTAAGAGGAAGTGGTAGTCGGGGGCAGGGCGTCCTCCCTGCTCTCAGTAAAGAGTCATTTTGGCGGGAAAATACCTGGACCAAACTCTCTGTTGTGTCCAGTGAAAATTACTAACGTCCGATTTAGTGTCATATTTTAAAGAGTTAGATTCAAGGAGAAAACTGATGCCCAGGATGACACTTCATGACAAGATTTAGTGACTCCATGGTCCATTGTCTACGGCCAGCCTTAATTGCATCCAACGCTAAACAGGCAAACAGGACTTGTTTGAGAAAGCTAGTTTTAATTTTCTTTTCCTTTTTTTTTTTTTTGCCATGAGCTATACATAGCTATACACACAGCTGATCTGAAACAATCTTCTTCAACTTTCTGAGACATGCTAATATTGATTTATTTCGCATCATTTTAGAATTAATATTATTCCTCTTTGTGATATGTCTGATTTACTTAGAAAAGAAATGCATTCACCAAGATATCATTGAACTAGGAATGGAAAAGTTGGTTATCAGTCTGTGTTCCCAGAAGTGTACCCCTTAAGATGACAATTCTTATGCAAGTAACTTATTAAAGAAGTGTCACCAGGAGAACCAAGTAAGTGAATGAGGGGTGCCAGGGAGAGAAAGAGAACAAGCCAAACTAAAATGCAATTTCACACAAAGCCCCTCAGCTTGATCTGACAGGAAAACTCTAGAATGTACTTATGTCCCCAAGTTTAGCCCATATGCAGGTAAGGAAGCTGAGCTTTCAACCTCAGTCCCTCAGTGGCTAACAGCGAATATGAGGCAACATGCGCTTTCAGGCACCTTTGGCTATCTGCTTCTAGGAACCAAAACAACTTCAGTAGCCTGTGGGCAGGGCTCTGAAGAGAGCCCCAGGTGTAGCTATAAAAGCAAAAGGACTCTGGATGAGTAAGGGGAGCACGGAAATGGAAAGGGAACCAGGACATCTGGGTTAAACAATGACAATGCTAGTGCCCGCCCCTAGGGCCCCCTCCCCCCACCCATTTATTGATCATATGAAGGTCACCCCATCTGTCATACCTTCTTCAAGGTGGTAGTTGATCAACATGTCTGGAGGAAACCTTCCAAGGGAGAAGTTAGTGGGATGAATTACAGCTCATCCCACCAACTTTGTGCTATGGTCAAAACCAGCTTCATAACCTCCTTCATTGTGGGTTCTACACACCCGTGGCCAGCATTTGGGCTGGTCTAGGAGGCTTGCCTGGTGAGGCTATCAAACATCCACACTCAGGGAGCCGAGTCCCTAGTTACCATGCCCTTATCAGATCAGAGTAGCTGAAACCACCCACTCACAAATAAAACTAGGCATAGGACCAGCA